TTTTGTTTTTTATTTTAATAATTTATTTTATAGCTATTTTATAAGTTGTGATAATTTAATTAATATCTTTATAACAAAGTATATTTATATTAGTAATAATTTATATAAAAGCAAACAGGATATACCAATTTCATGACGAAACATTTTACTGCTAAATGTTAATGTTAAAGCTAATTGAGCGATTATTAAAGCTTATTTATAGTATTAAAGCTCTCTGTACACTAAAATAATTTTTAACATAACTTTAACAGCAGTCTTTTATAATGTATATACTTTTTATAGCAGAAAATATAAAAAGCTTTTTAGAACATTATTTAATATAAAATAATTTTATTAAAAAATTAATTTTATTATTATAATTTTATTATTTTATTAAATAAAAATATTTATAAAGAATATCAAAATTGAATACCAAAAAATTGATAATAAATTAATTATTATAAATTAATAATTAAGATTAATTATTGAGATTTATGCCGCACATAAGTATTATTTCTGACAATAAAACACTATAAAACACTTGGACATGGGGATTTATGAAGAAATCTTTTAACTAATATAAATTAAAATTTTATTTAAAAATTGTTATATTGTTATATTAAGGATATCTTGCCCTAAACCATTGTTGGCATTGTTGTTTTCATAAGATTCTTTATTATTTTCAGATAAAACTATTATTTAAATAACAAGACTGTATAACAACACTGTATATAAATTTCATTCTACAATAATCAACAGTATTTATTGTTTTTTTATAAATATAAAAAATAATAAGTAATTAAAATCACTTTTAATCAAAATATTGAATCATGCCAAAAACATGTAGACCAATTGAAGCACTTAATAATGACTTATTATAACCATAAATCACTTACCTAAAAGCTGAAAACAGGATGAAAATGTGGCGCAAAGCATTGGGAAGTGAAAGTCGACTTTATAAGTATCTAAACCATAATTAAGAAATTCAGTATTTTAAAGAAAGCTTCAATCGCGCGAGCATATGAAACGGAAAGCATACAGCACTTCTTAGGCAGTTGTACTATATTAAGGACTTTTAGACGAGTTTGTTTTGAAAAAGAATCTCTAGTGGTAGAGGAACTAATCAGTGAACTTAATCGGGAGAATGATCCTGATTGAAAAAGATTGATTAACTTTATTACTAGTGTTTTGAAATACAAAAAACTAATTATAAACGAATTTGAGACTTTAATTAACATTTAAAACATAAGCAATTAATTTGAATTCCTGATATTTTCATTTTTGAATTGTGAATAGTTTTAAACTAGAAGGCAAATTTATATAAATCCAACACCTTCGACAGACAACTATCAAGTCATTGTCGTATGTAACACCAACCGAGTTTTTTAGGTTTTAGGCATAATACTTACTTATATTAAAATATTTTATAATAAAGAAGAAGTATATCTATCTATCTATCTAGTATTTATCTATCTATAGATATCTATTTTAAAATAAAGAAAAAGTATATCTATCTATCTAGTATCTATCTATCTATAGACTAATTAAAGATTTTTGCAGAACAATGTGAATATATATTCGTTTATAGCGATATATAATTTTTAAATTTGAAAATAAAGCACAAAAGAGGATGTTTATGATGGCATAGCTCTTAAATATTTCTGCTGCTACTATATCTTTTAATTGCTTTAAATAGTAATAATTATGATTAATATCATTAAATAGTCAATAAAATTGTTTTTATTATTGTCATTCCAGCAATCAATAACCTAATGAAATTTAAATTATTTTTAAATATTCCAAACTGATAAAATCCCAACATTTTTATCAGTTTTATTACGACGAAAAGTTTTACATCCAAAAACAATTAAATAATTTTCATAATTATATTTGCTTTACCAAATGTTACTCGTACAACACGAATTTATTACACTCAAATAAATTTAAATACAGTGTTACGTATATTAATAGAGGCGCCTATCTGTGCTTTGATAAGCATAGACAGCATAGAGTCGTACTTCATAGGAGTGAATTTTGTATCAGAACTCGGTACAAACCATATCATATCATATCACTCCCGTTGCATATCAAAGCCTCTTATCAATAAAGTGATTTGAATACCAACGCGAAACGAGAGGATTAAATCAAACGGTTGGTAATTAAAAACGAAACGTGAGCAAATGCTGTTAATTATATTTTGATCAAAAATAACAAAATCCCAATGCATTTATCACTAATGCCAAATTGAAAACGAAATTATATGGAATATATTACTTATTGCATATTTAAATGTGAAATCGAAAAGATATAATAAAAAATTTTAGAAGAGAATAATATTAAAGTAAAAAATTAACATGCTTTGAATGAGTAAACCTTAACAATTCAAATACTATTATTCTTTTCATTGCTTTCATAATGCATTCACATCAATCAGAATAGAATCAATCAGTAGACATTTCAGTAATATCATTCGTACTCTTTTCAGCCATTAAATTTTCTTTGGATATCGAATATTTTGTAATATCTATCTTTGCAATACAAATAAATTATAAATTGTACTACTAACTAGATATGGCCCAGTGTTCTCCTGGGAACGAAATGGAATGAAGAAGAAGAAGAATAACTAGATAAAAGCATGTCCAGGATGTAAATATATTTCAAACATCACTACAAAAAACACGTATGTCACCTCGTATCTACATCTCGTACATTTCATCTCGTATCTACGTATCTACAATATAACTACAAACTCGGGAATGTCTCAATGAACGAATCAATACAAATACTATATCAAATAATGAATATAAAAGCATTATTATTATATTGACGCTAGTTGAATTAATCCACTTCAGCACTTTTACTCTCTATTAATTGCGAGATTTCTTCATAACCCCTCTTTTCGCCTTAACTGGATTATTGTTTATTACTTCATCAGACTAAGCAATAACTGACCTCAGGTCTGCATACCTCCCCGAGGAGCCTGTAATTATTCTGAGATTCGATAACACGGTGTTGGTAAACCTCTCAGTTGTCGTAAAAAGTTAAGGCTCTATCCTTTATGTATTTTATGATCGGATCAATCTTGAAAACTTAAAAATTAAATTAATATTTTTATCATATTTTCTAAACCTCTTAATTCCCTTAGCACTCACTTATGGAAGACGATAGTTTTATATAAAAATATTCGCAAATTACTCTGTTACCAGAGATCTCCATAAGATTTTATAATTATTTTAAGATTTATAATTTTTTAGCGTGTAGCTATTTCATAGAGGAACTGTCAGCTGTCTTTATTAAATGTGATTATATATATCTTATATCTTATAAGTCTGATTTTGATTTTATTTGCAATTATCAATATCCGATATCAATTCAACAACTATATAATATTGCTGTTTATTTAAAGAACACAAGATATTTACAAAAAATTTTATCATGTTTAATATGACTTTTCGTACTGACTACTGATTACGAGTATTTCCCTAGTTTATTAATATTAAATAAAATGTTTTTTTCAATGTTAGCGACTTAGTGGATTACATACTATAATATCAGTTGTCGGAGTCAATTTTGATATATTGATTTTATATACCTATTTAAAAATATCCTACATTTTTTTTAGTTTTTATTTAACAGATACGCTATATAAATTGAACGTTTTACTATATGTTACTTTAAAACAATATTTGCACAAAATCAAATACCACAAAAGTGCCTAGAAGACATCTATGGGAGAGTGGAATATAATTTCTAATGAGTATAGGACTTAGCTTTAACATAACTTGAGGTTAGTGGCAACACAATTGAAGAAGGTCTTCTTAAGACCTCAGAAGACTTCAGAAGTGGACCCGTTATGATAGAACCTAGACATTTTTATGTACACCACCATATGGACGAATATTAATTACAAATAACGCTGTCCCAACTCCAGAAACACATTGTCGTTTTGATAAACAAACAAAGTCGTTAATGTGCATATTGAGATGAAAGACCTATAAAGACGTAAGATCTATAAGGACGTAAGACCTTGTAGTTGCCTTTCTGTGAGTGCCAAGCTATGATCATATAATCAACGTTTTCCACTTCCTTCTTTGATGCATAATTCCATTAAAAGCCGACTTCAGTCAACTTTTTGTAAGTACGCATATAACTATATCATTGGACCGTTGTGTACATATACGTAATCCTACGCAATTTTCTAATAAAAACTTTACTAACACTCTCTATATTTATCTTTTTTACTACAGTTAAAAATAAGCATTCTCCTTAATTTTTACTTAGTTCGTAGAAATAATTACCAAAATATAATGCAAACCATAAATAATGGAATTTATCTGATAATTGCATGTATTATGAAAGGTACATTTCCCAAAAATTCTCATTCATAAATCTGTTAAGTGATTTGATTTGATTTGATGTGATTTGACACAGTATTATTTCCTCATCTTATCATCCAAATCAGTACCATTTTGACATGTTAAGTCACATAGAAATAACCTCGGAAAGATATTTTTACATTTTATTATAAATAAATTTAAAAAATTCAGTTAAATTAAAAAATAAAAGAAAGAAAACTTTTATCTTCTTTCTTAGACAATTTCTAATTAGAAATATGTCAGGTTTGTAGAACTCAAAAACTCAGAAACTCAGAAACTCATTAGCCTACATGAATTTTACAGTCTTCAATACTTCTACCTCAGGTTGAGTTGGAATGATTCCATTCCGAAGCGCATAACTTGTTGCATATTTGGGTATGATTTTCATAGTTACCAAGCAACAGTTGGGGTAGGTATGCGTCGCACTACAGCGCTACGCTCTTGCACACGCAGATTAGGTGGGTGTTACTGGGGTTAAGTGATTTATACTCGCTTTTCGTATCGGCAGGCAAAAAAGCCACCGATTGAGTTGCGTTGAAAAAATGCGTTATCAGTGAATGTTTGGACTGCGCTAATTCGTTTTTCATTTTCTATATAAAAGGATGTGTCTTGTTCCACGGTGTAACCATTCGTCAGATAGTTCGGGAGCTGTGAGTTGTTTAGTAGCGCATCAAGTGTTCTATTAGTTACAGTTATATAAAAGTGAAAGTTATTTTAAAATTATTATTCGAAACTTTTTTAAGGTAAATGCCATTAATGAATGTTTTGGAGTTTTTAAGGAAATATATTAATAATGTATGAAATATATTAAATTTTTATAATCACAACGTACATTCAATTACTAAGTAATAAACTATATAAATAGATCCATTAGAAATATAAATAATTTATTACTTCTAATTTGTTTTTAAATGAAGAAAAATATTTGCATTTTGCCGAAAGAATTGTTTTATTTCGAAATTATTAACTATTTAATAAAAATATTTATTTATTTATAGATATAATAATGAAAAAAACTTAATTCAGTGAACTAAATGATGAATAATTGTTAATGCATCTATTGTTTATATTTATGCATTAAATTATATATTTAAATTACGAACACGTTTTTAAATTTTTGAAATTTTAATTACAGCAAATATAAAACTAAATATGATACTCATTTATATAGAATACTATAAACAATAATAAAATAAAATAAATGGAACCATAATAGATTTTATGGTAAATAATATAAATATATAATAAAATAATATCATTTATTTTAAAAGAAATACCATTCATATTAAATAACTTCATTATGAACGAGCTTACTTATTTGTCCTTATTTATATGTTTCAATAAAATACAATTAACAACAAAAACATTCTTAAATATTCATAAGATATAAGATATCATTAGATAATTAAATAATAAATAATTAACTTTTAATTTAATTCATATTAAATAGATTACGAAGTCGGTTTATGAAATAAATTCAAGTAAGCTCAACAAAGATCCCTTTTTATACATTTTATACACTAAGTAAATACAAATAAAACTATAAACAATAATATAATATATCAAAATGTGCTTTTTTTAACCTACTAGAACCATTTCTTAGAAATGAATAGAAATCATTTTCACCTCTGCGCCAAAGGACAGTCTAGAAATCACATTCCAGTAATTGGAAGAGCAAATTGAGATTCGGAGACTTAATACCTAACCCAAATTAAAATATGCCACCTTACAGCACTAAAAATGTCTAAAAAAATTTCTTCAAAAATATATTTATTGAATAGGCGTGTAAAAAGTTTAAAAAGTTATAAAATGATTCATATAGAGTTTTTAGTTATATCTCTATATATCTCCATTTGTCATTATTTTCATTGAGACTTTAACTAGTTTTACAAGGAATGTGAAATCTATCTATCTATCTATCCAATTCAGAAAGATTATAACACCTTTTACTTCACCTACTTGTCTTAACTAGATTGTTTTGCAGATAATTTAGTAAATAAATAGTTTCTAAATAATTATTGTGTAGTAAATTGTTATTTTTGTTATTTCTGAATATAAGTTTTACTATTTTTTTGTCTAAAGAAGTCATCTTTATAACATATGCATTTAGTTAAACTAAACCGTTGTACGCTAGTTATAATCTCTAAACTAATACATGAGAATTTCATGAGATATTTCTTTGACACTGTTGGTTGGTTGCAGTGGCAGAACATTAGATAACTTCCATGTTCCATGTAGCTTTCATGTAAGGATTATGAGGAATGCGAAATTTCTCTGCTTTGGATGCTATACACCAATGACCACAAAGAACTGCAGTGTTCACGCTGTCTGTTTTGACGATACTGTAATATATCAGTATTTTCTAGGTATATACTGAAGCGCCTAGCAGTTCTAATCAATTTTTTACATGGGTTTTTTGCTCAAGTGATAATGTCAATTATATTCTTTGTTGTTCTTAGTTGTTGTTATGTTGTTTTTTTTTATATTATAGTATTGAATCCAATATTAACTGCTAATAATATTACCAATGTTTTTCAACTAAATTACTATATGCAATTTTTACTATAGTAATTAATTCTTTAAATGTTATTAATTACCATAGGTAGAATATACCTAAGAGAGGTAGGCAAAATCAATGCGCAGTCGATAGATGGCCTTACTTAGGAGACTATATATTTGGAATTATCCATGCCCACAAATTCTCGTTTTCAATAACGAAGCTCTAGCCGAATGTAGTTATCCACTACTCGTTACCTATATTTATTTAATAGGATATCCACTGCAGGTTTTATCCTATTTGATACGAAATTTACTTTGTAGAAAACTGTGTGACACAAAAACTTTTCATATAAGGTCGATGTTAACTTAATATTATATATATTTTGGAGATATTTAGTATCTAAATCATCTCCATATTGTTTTTTCTCGATATAAATTTGACAATTATTAAAAACTTATATTTATAAATTTATTTTTTTTTTTATATAAAATATTGCTTTTTATTACGTTAATATATTTTGAGACTGTTAACCTCGTGAACTTAAAGAATTAAAAAAATTTTAATTTAAATTTTTTCCCATCTAAATTTATATACATACTTATGAGCTCACATAGACTTATTACTATATTTGTATATTCGAAATGGCAGCTGAACTTAAAACAAAACAAACAGTATAAATAAAGAAACCTTATAAAATTTAATAATATTTCATATGAATTGAAATGAAAATTTTTTACATGCTTACGAACCCCTATTCAGTTGGGGGGGAGTTGCACAAGGATATATTTTCTTCAAATATGTTTATTATGCAAACATGTAAACAAAAACCAACATTAAAGCATTTCAATGAAATTTCATTTCTATACACAGACTACGTTCATCAGCTCCGAAATGAACTCGACAATGCGTTATGGTTTGGTGTTGCTGATTGCCTTGGCTATGTTAACAGCTAATATCGCTGCAGCAAACTCCCGACCACCAAGGAATAATGACATTAGCAACATGGCTGATGCACTCAAATACTTGCAAGACTTGGACTCATATTACGGCGATAGGGCAAGAGTCAGGTAAGCCCAGACTTATTCATATACATAAGATATAATAATAAGTGACCATATTTAATATTTAATATTTAATTAATATTTATTAATATTTATATATAAATATTATAAATATATTTATATTATTATATAAATATAAAAATTTTTATGAACTTTACATGTTAACAGATTCGGAAAGCGCACTTCTCTAATACAACTTTTGCGTAGTCATTTGCTGGATAACTCGGAAATGGTATGAAGATGCTTAACATATATTTTTAGATATTAAATTGTACTATTTTGCTTCTAAGGCTCATGCTGCTGAGTTGCCGGCTGCAGAAGAACCGTTTTAAATCATTTAAATCAGCCACGAATTTCCGAATTTCTACCACATTTAGTACCAGCCGAAAACAGTATTTGAAATGTATCGTGTAAATATTGTGTGAAGAGCATATAAAATACATAAAATATTAAATTAATACTTAAAAATAACTAAACATAAATGAAATCTTTTGGGGCACACTCAATGAGGTTGTAACTCTCAGCATATGTATAATAATTAACCAATATTATATGTAATCTCTTTAATATTTAAATAAACTATTCCTATAAATTATTTATTCTTAATATTTAATTAAAAAAGTTATAAATTCAATAAAAGCAATTTGTTGCATGACAACATAAACACATGAAATAGTTTTTTATTAACATAATCTTATTATATTTTATTAATAATTCACTTACAAATAAGTATATATACTCATATTTATCTCTCATTTCCAACCTTTAAATAACTTTCACATAATAGATAAATAGAATCTATTTAATTGGCAGGAAGCGCAGTAGCACACCGCAGGCTAGAGAATAATAGACAATACAAAGTTATAAAAAATTTAAAAAAAACGAAAGCTACTTTAAATACCTAACATAACACAAGTAAATATAGCGAAAGTGGTATTACAGAGTGGTTCCAGCATTGCACCTATCAGATTTGTAGCAATCATTATGCCAAGTCGGCCAAATGTTAAGCAAATAGCAACCGCTTTAGCTCTATTGAAAAATGGTTTAAATTTACGAATATTTAAATAGTTTTATATTACCTTAAATGTGTGGGTACTAGCTCCACAACAGTTGCCAGCATCACAGATATTGACAAGCCGGGAAGAATTATATAAAAACAAAACACTACCAGCAGCAAAATTTTGTTCGAGACAAAATGCAGTAGAACTCCACTGATAAAGCCAATAATGAGTGTAGTATAAATAACAATTTTGTTACCAAAAACTTTTAATAGTGGTCCTTGAAGTATAAAACCAATTAAAAAAACGCAACCTACGATTATATTATCGACATAGGTTTTCACTGCTATGGTATCATCACAAGCCTGGTAAAAATTATAAATAAATTATTTTCATAGAAATATAAATTTCTGATAATGAGATATAATAATAAAATATAAAAAGCTTTAATGAAGTGACTGTATACATATTTTAGAAAATAGGTATATGGAGAAACAAGTACCAGTAGCATCACAACAAGCCTACTTCTAAGTAATACTACAAAAAATATGGGTACCCCAAATTTGAAACGAGAAACTGTCTTCTCTTTTTAATAAAATTTGAACGCTTTTAATATACACATTAGATATGTCAGATAAGCATCTAAAGAAGTGCCTATAGAGAGTGAAGAACATTCACTCTATAGACATCCGACATTGACAGAACTGATGAGTAACATTTTTCTATTATTTCTGTTACCAACAACTTCGATGTTGATATGTTGATATGCAGATGTCTGAGTTGGTGATTTATCACCTTAACCCTATTATATCTGTAGACAGTTTTTAGTCACACTAAGAATAACTGAATACGGGGCTTTATAATATGATGAATCTGATGTCTTTGTATCTGCCTGTGTTTATCAGATTTCACTGTATTTTTAGGTTGCTGAGTGTTGGATTATTGTGATTGTCAATTATATTGAACAGTTTCAGTGCACGATCTTTAATATATTTTTCGACTGAATCGACTCTCAGATCTCTGTGGATATGCGCTCCTCTTACGTACCATGGGGCGTTAACCAGTTTTCTACGATAGTAGTACAATAGTTGAATAGTGTTCTGTTCGTAAAACAACTATATTTGACAGCAGGACAAGTCAAGACAAAGTATGCCAACATGTGATGTAATTCATATTATATAAAACTGTGTGCGATGTCTGATCAAACCATCGACCACACCAGAAATTTTCTAATAACCCAAAGCGTATTTCGATTTAAATAGTGAATATTCCAACTCATTCAAACGTATAAGACATTTAAATGCTATTCATTTGAGGAAAATAAACATTTTTATATATAAAAATGATTAGAAAAGAAATAAATAAATACTTTAAAAATAAATATTAATGCAAATTTTTTAAATATATGGTTTTGCATTATTAACACCGTTTTGATTAGATAGCTTTGTCAAACTCTAATATTTATGCATAAAATCTATTTCATGTAAAGTGTTATTGTTATATTATGTGAATAATTATTTTAATAAAATTATATTAAATTCATAAGTAACTCACCACATCATTACTGCTCAGATTTGCAGTAAGCGACTGCTGTTTAAAAGATGCATCGAGAACTTCGCATACAGTCGATACATTGCCTTCAGTTTGCACAGAGGTACGATTTGCAATTTCTGGAAACCACATTTGCATACCAGAAGAACTAGAAATATATACATTTATGACAATATTTCTTTATTTTTGTTTTATGAATATTAAAACTGTGTTCTAATGGTAATATTTTTGGTACCCACCAAAAAAATAAACCGAGCACTACTACGATACTTATAAGAAAATTCTTTCTATGTGGTTTATGTCCTAAAGGTAATGTTGCCTTCCATATAGACACAAATATACCGCAACCATTTCTTGTACTGAGCACATCCTCTGCAGCGGAAAGTTCAGGTTTTAATTTGTAATCGCGATTTTCTAATAAGCTTGTAACTGTGCAATGTTTGTTAAATTTGCAAATCCAATTTATAGCTTCTTCAGCTTCCTTTTCTTTCTGTTGCGCCAATAACAGCTTAGGACTTTCCGGATATATGAGCAGCAAAAGTGCTGCTATAAAACCAGGTAAAGCACTAAAAAGCATTATTAAGCGCCAAGGACGAAAAACAAAGCCATCGAATATGGCTAATGACCAATTATGATGAAGCACCAACCACGAGACAGCTGCATTAAAAACAAGCACAATATTACAATTCATTCAAAAGAAAACTTTATATAAAGATTTTATTTCTAAGTGTATATAAATGCACTTTACCAGGCACATAAATACCAGCAATGCTGACAAACATGTTTGAATAATTAATTACAATTGCGCGATATTTATTCACATTAAACTCGCTAAGGTAGGCATACATAGAGGCAGAAACGCCACCAATACTGAAACAAACAATTGAAAAAAAAACAAAACAATTGAATTTATTTAAAATTTAATGAACCAATAAATTACTTTATTCCAATGAAGAAATTCACCACATTAAATGCCCAAACATTGGTAATAAACATTGTTAAGATCTCCAGAAAGTTTGTCAGAAATAAGGCATAGAGCAATACTCTACGTCTACCGAAAGCATCGCATACGTAACCCCATAAATATGTGGATACAAATATACCTTAAATATAGTTATAAACGTTTAAAAAATTCATTAAAAATTCTTTGCTAAAAAAAACTGGTGTTAACCCACCTGCAACACACGCTGCCAACATGATTCCCTTCTCCGATTGATTCGTACTGAATTCACATTGCGAAGCTATGACAATGATGCCAACACTCTGTTGAGCCGAGATTGAATTTAAGATCATCAAGCCACTGATAAACAATAGAAGCCACTGTGTCTTGCCAAAACCTGCAATCACTCACTGATTTTATATATATTAAAAAAAAAATAAACTGCTAATAACAACCAATTTTCTCCAAAATTTCCTCATATTCCACTTCATTACGAACTTCATTGAACTCCATCGCAACTGCTTTATTTGTGGACTGCTCATTGGGTGCACTATCTGAAAACCGCATTTTTAATCTACAAATGGTCCAAAAGCTGTAGGTTCACTCTTGCTTGCTTCAGCGCAGTTCAGCGATTAAATGAGAATTAAACTCAATAAGCAGTTTTGCAATAATTTATATAGTTTTATGCTAATTAATAGAATAATATTAAGTTTTTACTCTCTGAATAAATTGATTTGAAACAAAATCTCAATAAATCTATTTACATTTTTTATAAATCTGTTACTGCTTAGTAGTATGTGATATAAATTGAAAAAGCTATTAACAAATTTATTCAAAATTTAATTTTTATTAAATAAATAAATTTTTTCACAGTGTATGTTGCCCAGGCATTCGAAAAGTAAAAGAATTATTTTTTTTATAATAATTTTGTTAAACAATAAATAAGTATTGAATTTTGTACAGAAACACAATATGGGTTAATGATTTCTGCCAAAAATAATTATTTCCAATGTAATGATAATTATTTATAGTAATAATTATTTACAGTAACAATTATTCATAATAATAAATATTTTTAATAACAATAATTATTTATAGTAATAAATATTTACAACAATAATTATTTATAGTAATAATTATTTGCAACAATGATTATTTACAATAATAATTATTTATAATAAAATTATCTCAAAGCAGTAATTGAAAGCGCTCTAATCAGGTTTTTAACAACCAAATTACTTTATGTATCTACTAAAAACTGATTTAGTCTCCCATAATGTTTTAAAATTTCTTTGAATAGAGTTAGTACGATTACATCTAACTTTCAACGAAAAATACTTATATCTGCTAGATGCCATCATGAAATATACTGCAGTGCTAAACAAATCATGTTTTGCAAATACAATCAAAAATAAAACAATTTAAAACAAAACTCCTACATATATCTTATAGGACAAAAACATTTTCTAATTTTTGTTTTATGTTTACATATGTTAACTACTATAAGAATATTACAGTATCTATGCATAAAGAAAGGAACAAAACAGGACGCCAAAACTGCCGAGACCTATTACTGCTCACCATCGGTTACTAAATATTCATAAACATGCTATCTCTCAAATATCTCAGCATTTTTTTCGATAAAAAATTCTAAATTATTGTGACAATAGGATTTTTATTCAAATATGTCATGTATTCATATTTTCATTTCCCTCTGCTAAATTTTAAAAATTTTTACTAATTGCCGTCTTATCGACTTCCAATAAGCTTCGAGGAAAAAGTCAATATGCCTGCATAGTAGATAATATCTGCTTTGAAACTGTCATATTTACTCTAATAAAGCAAACAAGTCCTCCAATATTTTTCCACAATGCTCAGGATCATTATTATGATTTAGTGAACTATTTTGGAATTCCTCTTAACTAAAGATTATCTCGGAAAAATGAAATGAGCATCAAACTGATATAATTTTATTTGAAAAACCATGCCATTCACTGCAAATTTATTTCTGTTCAATTGTACTAAACTATACCGATCTAGTTCCAATCTCCACTCCATCCAAAATACTCGTTTTTTTTTTTTTAATTAAGGTTTATGACTCAATTTCGGTTGAAGAATATATATTGCTTATTGGAAAAACTACCACAATTTCAAGCGAGAAGAAGAACGAGAGGCTTCATAAAAGAATATTAAAAACTTTGAATATATTATATGCAATTCTGGAGCAGGGCGACCAAATCAATATATTGATTTTGAAAACTTGATATATGGTATACTCGTATAATATAAACAAACCATTATCTAGATTTAAATATAATATACAATATTATATTAAATGTATTTAAATTATAAATGAAAATACCATAATCAATGAGATTAAATTTAAAAAACAATAATCCAATATACGACATAGGGATCTTCAAGATATTATTAAAATTTCACTTAGGTTAAGCACAAAATACCTGACCATCAAACTAATGCAAACTCTTGTTTTCATTACATGTCTCAATCGTGCAATCATAACATAAAGGGAATGAGGATTTTTGCTTTGTTTAGTGTACATACAGTTCTTTCTTTATCCATCTAGCATTGACTGGTTTTCACCTATTTTACCTAAAGATTTCATGTAGTCGTACATTGTTTATATTAGCATTATCATTCATGGAAAATTACTGTGCCATGATACCGAGAAGACGCTGATTTGATGCTGTTATGCTATCTCCCTGATGGACTTGTGGTATATAAAAATTCAGTTTCCTTTCATTTAACGGATTACTTTGCAGCCTGGCTATCACAAAAATTCGACATTTTCTATTATTCATTGTACTGTTTCGTCTAGATTCTGCCTTCCAAATCTAATCTAAAGAAAATATGAGTAAACTTCTTAAAAGCTCATACTACACAATAATAAATTGTATTTGAAATACAAATATTTTTGCTAAATGAGGTGAAATCTTAATATTTTGTTTAGATAGCTACTATTAAAAGAATCACTATCAAAGTAAATCTGAAGAAATAGGTATAATGATATTAAGCCACGCAATTCTATTCTACTAAAAAATAATTTTCTTTTCACAAATATTTTTACACACACAATAAACGTGCATAATTTATGAGTGCATTGCACTCTCTTTATTTTTAACTTAATTATAAATTTGTTAACATTATAAAAAATTTAATTGTAATACTTAAATTAAAGAGTTTGCTATTATAAAACGAATAATGATGTTTATATGGGCAGAACCAGCGTTAGTGCTGCACACACTAAAAGCAAAGGAAAACTTATTGTAAATGTATACATTTCTCAAAGACAAAGTTTTAATACATACATAGTACACAGCCGGTGAATAAACTAAAAGTCAAATCACAATATGACTCGAGAAGGGCCCCGATAATATTGCTGCCAATGACGCTGCCGGAACGTCCCAACATTAAACAAATGCAAACCGCTTTACCCCTAAAGTATGCAATAATAAATCGGTCTTATCAAAACTGTTACTAATAAGAACTTATTTACCTCAAATGTGTGGGCACCAAATCCACCACAGCGCCACTCAATACTGAAATGCATAAGCCAGGCAACATTAAAAATAAACAAAAGACCACAACAATGCTGATGGGCTGTACTAGCCAATTTAACGCAATACCACACAAACCGGATAAACATAAGGCACCAATCATCACACCTTTTCTGCCAATAGGGTTTATGATGATGCCCAGTATTATATAGCCAGCAACGTACGTTAAGCCATATGTAATAGAATCTATATAACTTTTTGTGTTGATAGTATCATCACATAACTAAAATAAAATTTTTCATTATATTTAGAATAAATTCAGTTATAATAAATTATGTCTATTGTCGTGTACTTACAGTTTCGTTGCCAATTTTCGATTTCTTTTCTATTGACGCATCAATGACTTTACAAACAGTTAATTTTTCATTTGTTCCACCCACACGATTTTGTATCTCAGGATACCACAGACCCATGCCAGTAGAGCTGTAATCATTTAATCATTAAATTGTGGAAATAATTGAGAATAATTAGAGTATACCTTAAGAAAACGCCACACATGACGACACAGGAGATGATAAAATTTAGGACATGTGGTCGTTTAAAAAGTGGCTTCGTTTCCCTCCACATCTTTTTAAATGCAGTTAAACTGAGGAGTTAAAAAATAATTGAAGATAAAGAAAAAAATAAATAAGAATGATTTTAACTTAAATTTACTTACGCTGATTTACTTATGATCAGTACATTTTCTTGTATCGGCTGTGATTCTGTTTTTAAATGAAAAACTTTTAGATCCGATAATGGACGCCCAGTGTTACGCCTGCAGATCCAATTGATTGCATTTAAAGCTTCTTCTTCTTTACTTAACGCAAGTAACATTTTTGGACTTTCTGGTAATTGAGTCAAAACCAAAGATGCGATGAAGCCAGGCAACAAATTAAATAGGATTAAAATACGCCAAGGTCGGAAATCAAAATCATCAGTTATGTGTAATGTCCAGTCCATTGATAGAACTAACCATGCAACAGCTGCAATAATTAATCATTGTAAATTTTCAATTTATTAAAATTTCTAATAAAAATTTTTAATTTAAAATACAAGGGCTTTTGACATCTGTGTAAAATTTCAAGTTTTTTTCTATATTTATCCAATAGTTCCTCCAATAGAGAG